ATGATGATGATGATGATGATGATGATGATGATGATGATGATGATGATGATGATGACGACGACGACGACGACCGTGACAATGGTGGTGGTGGTGGTTGTTGTTGATTGGACGTCGGATGTCGTCGCATCCGTGGTGGGAGTGAGAGAAGTGGCGGTGTTAGTAGAGCTAATCACAGTGATCGACCCGGTGGTTGAAGTGGGGAAGATAGTGTCGGTGACTCAGGGCAGCAGGGTATCCGCAGTGTGATCACCGGTGCTGGGGGTGGTGGTCGTCGTGGAGTTTGAAGCAGGAGTGACGGTAGCGGTGTTCGTAGAAGGGAAGTTGGTGTTGCCCTTGACGGTATCCTAAGTGGTTGATTCATGCGCGGAATGTAAGTTGGCTGTTTGGATTGTGAATCCCAAGCGGTGTACAGGGATGTCCAGTTGTGAGTATATGTGACGGTCGTAGAAGGTCGTTCAATTGCTCGCAGGTGTAGACTACGCCTAGCGTCCATTTACTGGCACCCAATTCTCACATGTGGCTCCACGAAGCTAGGCACTGCCTAACTGGCACACCCCGGTAACCTCCTCGACCGACAGGCTAAAGCAGGTGAGGGGATATGTGTGTACGTCTACACACACGGTAGTTCGGCTCCGCTCCCTCCATCGCCGTCCGGACTGATTACTGCCCCGGTATCTCCGAGACGAGGCTTCAATCCACGGTTGACAAGTCCTACGGTGAGAGCGCGAGCAATCACGTCGTTCGCTCACTAAAGCCCGTGACCCATAGTTGAGAGCGGTATTTGTATGGCGCGACAAAGCAGCCCTACTTAGGGTGGCACTGCTCGCCCCCGAGGGTTGACGACATCTGCGCGCAAACCGTGGCTCACGGATGTAAAACCCACGGTCGAAACCACCAAATACAAAACAACACACACACTCTCTCTCTTCCTCCTCCCCCCCCCCTTGTTAGGGTGAGTCCGCTCAATCTGGCGGCCTGGAATATTCGTTTCCTTTGGGATAATCCCAGGAACAACCGACCGGAAGGGAGGACGACTCTAGTCGCTTGGGAACCGGCTCGCTAGAAGGTGGACATCGCCGCACTCAGCGAGACCCAGTTCTCTGAACATGGCCTACTAGAGGGCGTGGGTGTCGGCTACGCCTTCTTCTGGAGCGGTCGCCCCAAGGCAAGGCGACGGGACGCGGGTGTCGCTTTTGCCATCCGGAATGACATCGTGGGACGACTGCTCTGTCTGCCACAGGGCATCAACGATCGCCTGATGAGCCTCCGTCTGCCTCTCCAGGGAGGCAAATTCGCCACCATCATCAGCGCCTACGCTCCGCCGATGCCCAGTCCCGACGCCGCAAAAGACAAATTCTCCGAGGACTTGCACGCTCTCCCGGCGCCTTTGTCGAAGGCAGAGAAGTTGATTGTATTCGTGACTTCAACGTCCGCGTCGGCACAGACCATGCTGTCTGGGGAGGAGTGCTGGGTCCTAATGGTCTCCGCGGCTCAAACGACAATGGCCTACTCTTCCTGCGAACCTGCTCAAAATATCGCCTCATCCTGACCAACATCTTTTTCCGCTTTTAGTCCTGGATGCACTCTCGGTCACGATACTGACTATGTTCTCGTCCGGAGGCAAAACCAGCAGGAGATGTTGGTGACAAAGGCAATCAGGGGTGCCGACGGATGGGCCGGCCATCGCCTAGTCATTTCCAAGATGAGGCTCCGTCTGCAACCCCTCGGGGGACCAAAAGGGGAGAGACCACGAGGTAATTTGAATACTGATTTGTTGTCTTATCCTGCTCACCGTCTCCATTTCAGTAATGAGCTGGCTTAACGGCCAGCCAACCTTCCAGTCGCCGCTGTCGCCGCCGCTAACGCGACCGCCTCCGTGGAGAACCGGTGGTGCCAACTAAGAGCCCTGGATGTCCTCGTCTGTGCAAGTTGTCAGCACCAGCACTGGTTCAACGACAACAACGCAATCATCAGTAATCCGCTCACCGCGAAGAACTGTCTGCTCAAAACCTACGTCAACCGCCCAATCGACGAGAACAAAGCAGCCTTCCACCGTAGTCACCGCCTTGTGCAACATCGGCTGCGGGAGATGCAGGACACCTGGACTGTTCGCAGGGTCAAAGAGATCCACGGTTACGCGGACCGCAACGAATGGAGGAGTTTCATCGCCGCGATCAGGACAGTCAAGGCAGTACACAGTCAAAGGAATCGCTCCTCTTCTGAGCACCGATGGAACCACTTTACTCACGGGGAAAACGCAAATTCTACACTGATGGCCGAGCTCTTCAGAGGCGTCCTCAACCACCCCTCCACCATCTTTGACGCCGCCATCGCCAGTCTGCCTCAGACGGAGCCCAACGCCGGCCTCGACATCCCGTCCTGTCCCCACAAAATCATCATAGCCATGAAGCAACTCTCCAGCTGGAAAACGTCCGGATTGGACGCGACCCCTGCTGAGATTTACGAGCAAATTTGCCCCCAACTCATGAATCAACTGACAGTGCCATTCCAGGAGATGTGGCGTCAAGATGAAGTCCGTCTGAACAACCATCTGAAACAGGGACTCCTGACGGAAAGCCAATGAGGCCTCTGCCGTCATCGCGGGACCATCAATGTGACTTTCGCCACCCGCCAACTGCATGGGAAGTGCCACGAGATGCGACCCCCCTCTATTCTACCTTCGTGGATCTGAAGAAAGCCTGGAACAGGGCCTTCTGCCGGAAAGTCAATGCGGCTTCCGACGTCATCGTGGGACCACGAATATTATCTTCGACGCCCGCCAAATACAGGAGAAGTGCCAGGAGATGCGGACTCACCTATACTCTACCTTCGTGGACCTGACGAAAGCCTTCGACACTGTGAATCGTGAAGGACTGTGGAAAATCATGCAGAAGTTCGGCTGTCCGGAGCGATTCCCTCAGATGGCGCGCCAGCTCCACGGTGGCATGATGGCGCGAGTCATGAACAACGGAGCTGTCTCAGAGGCATTCGCAGTGACCAGCGGAATGAAGCAGGGCTGTGTCCTCGCGCCTACCCTCTTCAGTATTATGTTCTCTGCCATGCTGATGGAAGCCTACCGTGACAAACTTCCTGGGATCCGCGTTGCCTACAGGACGGACGGCCAACTCTTCAACCACCGGCGGATGAGCTTCCAGTCGTGTATATCCCCAACCACCGTCCACAAACCTCTCTTTGCTGACAACTGCAATCTCAACGGAACCTCAGAAGGGGACATGCTAAGGAGCATGGATTTATTCGCCACCGCCTACGACAATTTCGGCCTCAGTATTAACAGAGAAAACGTTGATTATCCAACAACCGTCATCCAACGCCGATTACGTTGCATCCAAATCAACGTGAACGGCGACGGCCGTGGGCAACTTAACGTATCTGGGAGCACCCTCTCTCGCAGCACCGAAGTAAACGATTAAGTGGCTCGCTGGATTTCAAAAGCCAGGCAGGCCTTTGGCTGTCTGCAAAGCACAGTTTGGAATTATCACGACCTCCATCTCAACACCAAACTCAAAATGTACAGAACGGTCATCCTGCCGACGCTGCTGTATGGAGCAGAGACCTGGACGGCGTAGAGGAAGCAGGTGCGGAAGCTCAACCACTTCCACCTTAGCTGTCTCCGACGGATGTTGAAGCTGAGGTGGCAGGATCGTGTCCCGGACACGGACGTACTGGAACGGACATGAATCCTCAGCATCTTCGTCACGCTTAGCTGGCAGGATCGAATCCCCGACACTGATGTACTGGAACGGACGGGAATCGTCAGCATCTACACCATGCTGAGACAAAGGCAGCTGCGTTGGAGCGGCCATCTGGTGCACACGGACGACGAGTGGTTACCCAAACGACTCTTCCATGGAGATGTCGCGACGGGTTCTCGTCGCCAAGGAGGCCAAATTCGTCAATACAAGGATACTCTGAAGTCCTCCCTGAAGAGTCAGCAAATTAACCCGACCAAATGGGATGGGCTCGCCCACGATCGACCGATCTGGAGGAAGACAGTGAAGACAGCGCTGTGATCTATGAAGCCAACCGCATCGCCGCCGCCAAAGTGAAACGCGAAGCACGCAAATCACAGCTGCGCCCAGTAAGCAACACCGACGCACAGCCGCTTTCAACGTGTCCTCGGTGTCAACGGACATTCCGGGCACGAATTGGCCTTATTAGACACCTCCGGATCAACTGCACCTCTCGGGCCGCACCGACCGTCGTCCCTCCGCTCGCCTCTTCCTCGTCCACTCCGCCGCCAACGGAATCTGACCACTCTTCCGAACCACCACTTCCTCCTGCCGACAAGGAGGTCAAGTCCGGCGCTACAAGGATAACTCAAAGACTTCCCTGCGACGCCTGGAAAGACCTCGTCCGGGATCGACTGGATTGGAGGAGGACAGTGAAAACAGGAACAGAAATCTGCAAAGCCAACCGTGTCACTGACGTCAAAGCCAATCGTGAAGCTGGCAAATCACAATTTCTTCCATCTCGCAACGCCGACGCTCAATCGTTCTTATCTTGCCCACGCTGTCAGCGGACGTTCCGGGCGCCAGTCGGTTTTATTGGACATCTACAAACTAACTGCGGCACCCTGACGATACCAGCCGATATCTCCCCGTCCGCCTCTGCCTCGCCCCCGCCCGGTCGATAATCAACATTAACCGCGATCCTGATCTCCCCTCGACATCTTGAAACCGCCTCAACAACTGCTGCGTTGGCTCCTACCCCCCAAACCACTGCAAACAAACCTGACGCAGCGGCAAACTTTAACCTCACCACCGCCAACACCAGCACTCTGGACTCGGTCCCAACCTGTCGTCATCGCGATCGCACATTCGCCTCACCAGCGAATCCATCGAACAGAAACTGGCGAACCAGTGCCTGGAACACCAACCTACACTCGCTGCATCCGCCTCAACTGCTCCCGTACACTCCGCCCCCGCACGAACCTATTAGGTCACATGCGCATTCATGAAAACCTGCGGTAGACAACCGCCAGCTACACCACACCATCACACCTTCCCCCACCAGCACCTGCTCCACACAACAACATCACCCACCGCAAACACTCGATTGTCATCCCAGTGGGGAGTGTGTTTCTCGACCCCTTCTTCATGTGGCTCCTCTGCTGCATGGGTGACCCGAGCCCGAGACTATCACTGTGCGTCGAGTGCCGTGGCTTTGAGGGCTGCCGACTGACGCCTCAAATCAGTACACGCGGTCTGCCCATTTGTGTGTGTGTGCTTGTTTGGAATGGCGAACTGGTGGGCTGAGAGCCAGGCTGTCACCGCTACATCTTTACTGGTCTGTGACACTCACGCATGTGAGGAGGGTGTGTGTGTGCACTTTATGGTTAGTACCTCTCAGTCGCGACTGTCTGGTTACCAAGGTTTGAAGGAGGATAGTCCAGGCAAATGCAGGGCAACGTGTCACCCTTCTGGGCCTAAATGTCTGTAAGCCCCAGCTCCCCTCCTTCCCATCCATACTCCATCCCCGCACTTCAAAAGTCCTGCGGAGAGGACGACACGCAGGCCCGTAGTTGGCCAAATCGGGTCGCTCTCCACTGAACAAAACCCTGACCTACAGCGGAGTTCACAGCCGTCCGGAATGCCTATGCAGCCGCAGATAGCCCTGATTATCTCCTGGTGGAGAATGGGCTAGAAAATGTGCCCCAACGAAAATTCTGGAGAATCACCCATCTGCTAATATACCGTGGCTCGTATATGCATGGCTCGCGGTCGAAATACTACAACGAACAACAACAACAACAACAACAACAACAACCAATCTTTTCCCCTCTCCCCCGCCCCAGCTTATAGGTTATTAGGGTAACTTCGCTCATTCTGGCAGTCTGGAGTATTCGTACCGTTTTAGACAATCCGAGGAGCAATCGACCGGAACGGAGGATGCGATAGTCGCTCGTGAACTGGCGCGCCACAAGGTTGACACCTCTACTCTCATTGAGACCCAATCATCAGAACAGGGTCAGATTGACATGAATGTTGGCTATACCTTCTTCTGGAGCCGCTCACCTTAAGGCAAGGCGACCCGACGCTGGCGCCGCCCTTGCCATCTGCACCGACAGTGTGAGACAACTGCCCTGTCTAGCGCAGGGTATCAACAACCAACTGCTGAACCTACGTCTGCCTCCTGGGGGATGCAAATTCGCCACCATACTCAGCACTCAAAAGACGCATGCATATGCTAACACGCAGGGGCAGTGTCCATTTAAGTCTGGGGTGGGGTCTATAAAATGGATTGTAAGCACTTCCTGTAGCTGACCTCTATCTGGCTTTGCCTGTCGCTTCAGATAGGACATTTAATCATGCAGGAATTGGTGCACAATGATCGCATGGTGATACAGACCATGGGAAGGCAACCACCCGTCAGGCCGGACAGAGGTGTGTCCCCAAAAGGGGTCACGTGGTAGATGCGCTGAACAAACACAGGGGCCATATTGGATTCTGACAGGCGTTATCGGAATGCACACCATAATAGATGCAAAATTTCGGTATGCGGTAGCAGACCCGGTTGCCGGCAGACGTTGTCGCCCCCCCCCCCCTATTGTTGTTGTTGGTCAAAAGCCTGGTCATTTGCTGTGTGGAACAGGGGGTGTAGAGTGGAGCGACAAGGTGCAGGCTCGGTAGTGTCATCCACCTGCGCCCTCCCCCCGCCTCCGGTCTTCTTGACTCTGCCTTGACGCAGGGCCCAGGTAGGGGGAGAGGAGAGTGCGGCAGCTGCTGTGCAAGTCGACATTCACTATAAACGCGCAAGTCACCGTGCCTGTTGCACCTTGGTGTGTATCACACGGTGGACATCGTCGGCAACGATGGTCGAACTGTCGTTCGATGGCGTGGATTCGATCTTGTTCTGTCTTCAGTCGGTTAATCAGTAGACTGTCCGCAGTCGAAGTCTGTCATCGGTGGTTCATCTGGCCGGCTTCCTCTTGCCACCATATCTTGGCGCCATTCGGTCTAGTAGCTGATCGCCCCCTCCCCCCTCCTCCCAATGATATCTGCCACCCAGTGGGTGTTTGGTCTACCCCGCCTGAAGATGACAACTAGGTCAGAGGTGGCTTTCCAAGCTTCTGTCCAGATTACTCGTCACTCTGCCACCGCTCATGGCTGCAGCAGGAACTAGCATTTTCCATCTGGGTGGTTCTTACGTGACCAAGCTGCTGTCAGTGGGAACCGATCCACAAAGTGACTCGTTGCATTCCTCACCATAAGTAGTTGGACGCGTTTGAACGCCTCACAGTGCGGTACGAGTTGCGCCTTGGAAGACTGCCGAATGACGCATAACCCGGTCCCCATCGAAGTATTTTGGCGCGTTTCAAGTACTGAGAACCAGGCTGCAGTAAGCCCTCCCAAGTGTAGCCTGAAGGCCACGCGCCCGCCCATGGGAAAACCGAACCGCCTGTATTAAAGCCTGGCACAACTGGTGTGGGGGTCAGATCGTGCGTGGCACGCGTAGCCCGGTCGGCCAATGTGCCATCAGTTTTGCCATCAGGTCAAAGAGGAAGTGAGATAGATACTGCGCAAGTCTGCATCAATATAAACTAACCCACGCACCACGGACCCACTCAGTAGGGCAACCGGTGGAGGCCGTCGGTGCAGAAGGTCGAATCACCACCTCAAACTGTCAAGTTGATCTCTGACTGGCTTTGCCTGTCGCTTCAGATGGGACACACCGGTCCGCTGGCTTTTTAAAACAAACAGGCCCCGCAGTGGGTGATAGAGACCATGGAGACCGAGAGGTGTATGAGTCAGATGCGATAGCGTTGTTCCGATCTCGTTCTGCCTTCGATCGGTTAGTCAGCAGACAGCCCGCAGTCGAAGTCTGTCGGATGGGTCATCGGCAGTTCATCTGGCCGGCTTCCTCTCGCCACCATACCTTGGCAGCATTCGGTCTAGTAGGTGATCGTCCCCCTCTGATGTCCGTCACCCATTGGCGGCTTGGTCAACCCCGCCTGAAAGTGGCCACTAGGTCAGAGGTGGCTTTTAAAGCTTCTGTCCAGATTACTTGTCGCGATGCCACCGTTCATGGCCGCTGTGGGAACTAGCATTTTCCAGCGGGGTGGTCCTTACGTGCCCTTGGAGTAAGATTGTCAAGCATTCGCAAACTGCTGACACTGGGAGCCGATCAACAAAGCGACTCGCAGCATTCCTCACCGTAATTAGTCAGACGCGATTGAACCCGTCACAGCGCGGTACGAGTTGTGCTTTGGAAGACTGCCGAACGATGGGATAACTCGGTCCTCATCGAAATATTTTGGCGTGCCCCAAGTACTGAGAGCTAGGTTGCAGTAGGTCCTCCCAAGTGTGCGCTGAAGGCCACGCGCTCACTCATGTGAAAACCGAGCCGCCTTTAGTGCAGCTTGGTAAACCTGATGTGGAGACCAGATCATGTGTGGCACGCGTAACCCGGTCGGCCAATGTGCCATCGGTTTTGCCGTGGGGACAAAGAGGGAGTGAGATAGGTACTGCACAAGTCTGCATCAATATAAACTAATCCACGCACCACGGGCCCACTCCGTGGGGCAAGCGGTGGACGCCGTCGGTGCGGAAGATCGAATCATCAACCCAAACTGCCAAGTTTGTGGGACAGACTTCGGAATAAATTCCTTGGTTGTGAAAACGGGGGTAAGCGACTCCCGACAGGCATTCAGAGACCCGTTTCACCTGCGAATTGTCAGTCAGGAAACAAACAGCATCGGTGCTCGCCACAGACTGCATCATGAGCCAAGCAGTGGTTCTGAAGTTGACGCGTGTGCCTGTGCGTCTAGCCGCCGGTAGTTCTTGGGCAGGTAGCAGAGAGGGAAGGCATATTGAGTCTTGGGCAAATTGGTTCCCCATCAGGCGTCAGGTTGTCTGATAGCTCGACCGCATACAAGCCCCCTCCCCCCATAGCCGCATGTGTACTCCAGAGATGCTGGGAGGCCTCTGCCAAAGGCCTCAATCGAAAGAGGGAAAACTTTTCACCCCAAATCTCCTGTGGCTTGTCCGCAGTGGTCGATGCTGGAGAAGGCGGGGCAGGACTGTGTGCGATGGGAGATGTCAGACCCTCGCACTGCCGCTGAAGTTTTACTACTACTACTACTGCTGCTACTACTACTACTACTACGACTACTACTACTACTACTACTACTCATGCCACTGGAAGTACTACCACCCTCTCAGTTTCTCCGGGATCATTACAAATTCACCCAGTATGGTTCTTCGTTGGCACGGTTGATTTGTGTACCACAGCAAGAGAAGACATTCTGGAGAATGCATGCTTCCGGCAAATCGCCACAAAGTCTACTGGATTCGCTCGTTGGTAGCTCGCATCCAACTACGGTGAGGCAGGGGAAAGACTGTATGAGGTGTAACTAAGAGCAAGGTACAGGACTGGACGCAGTTGACAGCTGTCGGCTCGTCGATGTGTGTCGGCTCACAAGGTCTCAGAAAAAACGACCGCAGCCCGTCTTGCAATCGGCCCTGACCGGTGAACAGCACTCGTACGTGGGCCCAACGCAATCGGGACTGATTGTATGACCTCACCGAGTCTGTCCTCTAAATCGCAGTCCACCTTGTATGTAGCACACACAGACGTGCTCTCTCAGCTACTGCATCCAACCTCATCGCCAGCAGGTTGACAGGTTCGGACAGT